AGCTGTTTGTAAAATATATTTAATTAACGTTTTATTATTATCAATTATTCAATAACTATATAGGCGGGTTTGATCGGACAAGATCTATATAATTAGATTGTTAATAGTTAATAATGGAATTTTATTACATGCAAAAAAATATTTTTTTGAGTTGTAAATTTTGTTTTATTAAATAAATTTGTTTGAGTTTTTCATACATCGTTCATGATTTCTCTTGATCGTATATCTTAAATTGGTCGCGTATACAATAATTTTGATATTCGTTATATCGAGAGATATGGTCAAGAGAAGAGTTAGGAAGAGAGTTATTCTACAACCAAGTCGAAAACCAACCCTTTAAATACACTTTCGAGTAGTACGATTTAATTTATTAGACTATTTCAAATGGTTGCTTCCAACTTCTTAAATTCGAACCATTTGTTAACGAAACAACTGTTGGTGAAGTGATTGTTGACGAAATGAATCAATGTTTTATATTTTTACGTTATCAAATTCACGATTTTTGATTAGTCGATCAACAATTGCGTAGGTTAAATTTTTTGTTACCAGAACGGTCTCTCCTGTTATATGTAAATGATTGAATCAATTGAATCATGTATTTTTATTATTGTAATGCTATGAAACACTCGGCGCAGTGGTATTTTTATTTTTTGACCATCTTGTATAACGTTATATAATGATAAATGATTTCATGGTCTGAATGTGCTCACAATCTGTAAACTTGATTGTTTGAAGATGGACAGGGACGTCGTAGAAAGTTGAGTTCCGTGCGCTGAAATGGCCCGAGAGGAATTTCTCTACGAAAAAAACGAAAAAAGAATGTGGGATGGCCGTCCTATTTGTATTTTTTTGAATTAATAAAATAGACTATTGTCTTGAACTGAGTGATGTCGTTGTGTGAACAAAAGACACGAAGCTCACTGTCACGTTTTCGTTTAAAAACTTGTTGAAGTGTACGATAATAATTTTATTCGTGTAACGTTTATATTGACATTTGATCTGCAACGTCCCACAACTAAATAAGAGTGCACTGATTTGTTTGAAAAAATTGAATAATGTTGTTTTCTATGGATTCATTATTTAGCACTGAATTCAACTCAGCAATGCTAGTCTTTGTTACAAATTTTTATATATATATGTTAGTTTTCCATATTTGCATTCACATCATATTAAGGCCATTCAAAATTGATTATTTGTTTAAGGGTGGAGTGATCACCATATCAAAAATCAGTTATACAAAATGACTAAAACAATTTTATGTTACACGATTTTATTTTGCAATTTAATAAAGTGTTTAAGTACTTCATGACTGTTAGTATTAGTATAAAGGACATATTAAAGCTTCAACTCCTGTAGTATATAAATTTGAACTAACATAACTGCTCAAAATTTTGAAATAAGTGTCAATAAATTATAAAAAAAATAGTAACTACTCTCTATAACGGATCTTTCTATGATGATGATAATGATGATGATGATGATGATAATGATGATGATGATGATGATGATAATAATAATGGAGGATCTTGCTCTATAATGGACTGAGAATTAAGCCCAATTTATATGTCCCATATATTGCTAATGGACATTTTTTCATAAACCAAATGGTCCATGATAGAGAGTGAACTATATATTTACTATACTATAATGTACTACACTATTTCCCATCATTACACTCTTCATTTGCTTTACTTGTTTGTAATTCTATTAAAAAAAATAAGTAATTATGAGTATTGTGAACATTTAATCATAATATTAATAAAAACATATATCATTTGTGTTTTTTACCCACTCATTCGCAAGAGTTATTATTTTTTAAAGGTATTTTCTCAGTAACCTACAAAATACATGTTGGTTTTTTTGGTACTGAAATGAAGAGAAAACCTTGAAATATATATTTATAAATCTTATTTGTAGTTTTTTTATTTTATTAACCTTCAAAGTGGAATAAAACGTAATGTTACTCTCAAAAATTATTTTGATCATTTCTTATTAAATAAAAATATATGGTCAATCACTCCACCCTTAACATCCTTTCCGACAGCTTGAAAATTCTGGAAATTGCCAGTTGCATGTAACAATGTAAACAAAAAAGTTTTTTTTATGATGAATTTATTCCAATTTGTTGAAAATATTAGTAATAACCAAAGTAACCTATAAATCAATCAATTAATTTCTTGGAATTTTAAAAAATCTAGAGGGTAGAACGTTAAACAAATAAACAAATTTGAATGGCCTAAGCTTCACAAAATAGTAAGGCTCATTATCATTTAAATAGGTTAAGATTGCTTAATTTGAATCAAGATTATTTTTATTTAATTTATCAGAGAATCACATCACTCAAACAGTATTATTAAATATCTCCATAGACTTATTTTATGATGATGTTACCGGAATTAGATTTGGATGCTCTTTTGGCCGAATTTAACTAATTCCAAAATTCTTAATTTTTATTATTATTATATTTTATTTATTTCTATTTTTATTTTATTAATTTTATTTTATCCGTGTTACATCTATTTTTGTAATACGTTTTATTTTTATTTTTTATTTTTATTTTTATTTCTATTTTTATTTCTAATTATTTGTATAACGTCGTAATTTCTTTAACTTATTTAAGAAAGAATCGTCTTGGGATATCCTCACAATTTTGGGATATCGTCGCAATTTTGGGATATCGTCGCAATTTTGAGATATCGTCACAATTTTGGGATAACTTCTCAATATTGGGAGAATGTCTCAATTTTGGGAAATTAGAATTACTAATTAATTGAATTGTATATAAGGAGCTTGAATTC